GGAAGCTGTTGAGCTGCCATCTAAAACTAAATAAAATCCAAAAGAATTCAACAACAAGCGCTACAATATTGAAATAGGAGTGATCCGTTATAACACGGTAATAATCAGCGTCGCGAGTGAATTTAAATCTCTTTACAATAAATAACAAAACACATGCCAACATACGAAAATCAACAACACACGCCTAAACAACTATTGATCAATTATTAAAAGCAAACAGATATACAAACTGACTAAAAACCTAAGCAACACTCCAAAATATCAAATGGGCCGTCCCGTACTAAGATCACTATGACGGATTATTGAGACAAAAGCAGAGGAGTAATTCACAAGAGTGAGAGCTGAGCCTTAATTTTCAAAGAAATGACAATTATAACAGGGCTAATTTAGACAATCTCATCTATTAAATGGTAAGACAGTTAGTCTTATAGCAATCCAAAACTATTAACTCATTAACTATTCCAGCTGCTAGCTGCAAGGCATCGTTCATAGTTTGCGACCCTTCGAAGACCACAGAAGGACAATATGTGCCTTACATAAGCAGTCGGGGTATCTGCGATCTTGAGAGGAGAGATAGCAATTGCCATTCTTTTGATCATTTTTCCTTGCTATGAACCTTCTTTGTTCATTATTGCCCACTGCGATTTTGCGATTCGGAAGATTCGCAAACTGTGAACGCTACCTATTGCATAAAATCTCAGCGAATCCGCGATTTACTCGAACCTGTACTCCGGTCCAGGCGGTTTCGACATAACTACGCAAACATTATATCGAGACCGCCTAGATCAGCTACAACCTCCACAACCAGTACGAAAACAGCAGTCAGCACTATATACGCATAAATAACAAAAGAAGACCAGAACCGGCGACTGAGAACGAGGAGTAAATGCGAAGAATTAAGTAATTCAAAATGAGCAAAAAGGATATGGAGGTGGGTTTTATGACTGTACCCGATTAGAAACCGAGAATTCCTTTGCGATTCTTCACTCGATACTTGAGCACTTTCATTTCGATGATGTTCGCAATCTCTTCAGCTGTTCTCGTCTGACCGTAGTAATCATGGAAGAGACCATCTGGATCGATTAGATAGGTGATTACGGTATGATCGACGATATAGTCATCCTTATTCTTCCCAGTACGAGGCCCCTGACTGTGGTAAACACGGAATGTTTTCGCCACTTTGTTCACCTAAAAATATTATGATACCAAAGTACAATCGAAAATACACATGGTCAAGTCCTATGATGGTACCTGTTCCACAGATCCAGTGAAGCCTTTCAGCTTCGGAGAGAACTCAGCACAATATTCCTTCACTCTTTCAACTGTATCGCGTTCCGGATCGACAGATATGAAGATGGGCTTGATTGGTATTTTCTCTTTGTCGGGTTTTGCATCCAGAATGTCAACCACCTTCAAGTAAATAATGATGCATTTGTAGGCTAGGAAGAGCGGAACACACGGATTACATGCTAGAAACAGAACAGTAAAAAAATATCAGAATCGATTTTTTCTTCTAAACGAAAATTCGTTAAATAATGTTAATGGGTTGTAAAGTAGGACTGATTTTACACATCTTTGGAATTGCAAATGGCCTAGAAGCCGAACCAAAAAGAATAATGACCGACTAGACGAAAGTACTTGGAAGTGAGCAGCGGTTGCTAAATGATAAGAGTAGACACATACTCTATAGTGGAGGAGAAAGTGATCAGACGCATCGCACAACCGAGCTGGGTAGAAGATACCCAATGACCACGCCACTGCACGATCGGATGAGCCGGATGATTAGACGATACGTATACCTCATACCCTGTTTATGCAATCATTCGATCGGACTGTTGCAAAGTATAAGTAGGAAATTCTGATCCCCAGCAGCAGAAGATCTACTGCAGAATTTCAAAATACCACTACATTGCGATATCAGAGAATGTCGGAGCTCGAAACTTATTGGGCAGAGTGGCTACATTACCGTGTGCCGAACTGGATGATTCAATGGAAACTCACCGGTTTTTGATTCTGTTATATTACATTATTTTACTATAACATTGTATATGCGATCTAAGGAAGAAATTAACTAAATTTCGTGTTAGTATTTGATTGCATTTCGAAGTAAACGAGAAAAGCAGAGAGGGATGCTGCGATGAGCTATAGAAAGGTGAAGCGGAAAATTTGAGAACAATGGCCCCTCTCTTCAACCCTCGTAACGTTGACGACAAAAAAATCAAGACCCACCTTAACCATTTTCTCTATTTCATCTGGACAAATATCAGGACAATGTGTGAAGCCAAAGTACAGAAGCAGCCAGTTTCCTTTCAACTGCTCTGATCCTTCCAATTTTCCTGCAAATTTAATTATCGACATGAAAATCACTTAACCATCCAAGTATAGTAAGTCGTAACTCGAAAGAACGTTTAACAAAAGAGAACATTAAAGGAAGAAACAACTAGAAACAACAACAAAGAGAGAAAAGACCTTCTGTGTTGACGAGCTCCCAATCTCCACCGATTCGTGCCTTTCCAGCCAGATATTTTATATGTTTTTCTCGCTCCTCCAGCCTCTGCAATTCAACCATAACGCTGATATGTGGTAATAAGAAGTACAAATGGTCGACAGTAAAAATGATCACAATTTTTCGAATCCAGAAGAGCGCTGCCAGACAAGAAGCACCAATTCCTAACGTCATTGCTGCCACTCTCCAGCTGAACATCGTACTGCTCCGCTGGTATGCGTCGCGCTGGAAATTGCTGCGCATAAGTAGTACATAATGGAAATAAATAATATCATCATGGAGGAAAGAAGTGTCGAATCTCATTAGAATCGACGTGCTTTGCAGTTTGGTTTACAGCTCGAAATGTGGGAAAATACGATTCGACGATGCGATTGTGCGATCGCACGTTCTACTTAAAAAAAAAACGAGATTGCAGAATCGCAGGATCGCACGAACGCAAAGTATGAGTGCATTCATAGTTGGTCGTCCGATCGTAACATTAGCTTAACATTAGGTACATATCATCGTCGGGCATAATGAACGATCGGACGGCCGATACTTACCTGACGCTGTGCGCTCGTTACGACCGTGACGATCGGACGAACGACTATGAATGCGAACTATGCCCGACAGTAACAGAGATTTTGCCAATTCGAACGAAAAATTGCATCAGGCTACAGATTTTCAAAAACAACTTACTTCGGCCCTCGCCTTAAAGTTCATGAAGGTCTTGTCGATTTCAGCTTCACTTTCCTTCACCTTGGCATCGAGATCCTTTTTCAAAACTTCGTTGAGCCGTTCTAACTCTTTCTCCAAATCAGCGTCAGGTTTCTTGCTGAAGATAGCATAGTTTATTAAAAACAAACAAAGCTTTTGATTACCCGTAAACATCACACCTCTCATTTCTTTTACTTGTTGAAAAGTGGAACGAACTAGTCCCCTTTATTGAAAGGCTGGAAGAAAGAGGCAACCGTGAGCATATTCGAGGTAACACCCGACAATTGAGCATCTGAAAGACGAACGTCTGGCTCCAAAGTCCGAAATTCAACGAAAGCAGATGTCAAAGCGGAAGTTGTCGGAACGAAATTCAAAATCACCGTACGTAATTAGTGGCTTTGGATGCACTACACTCGCAGCAATTTACTTCACGGCTAGCTCCCGATTTCGAGCGCTTGCTGGGTGCGTCTTCTTCGTGCGTTTCGCTTCTTCTCTTTTGCCTTTTTCCCAACTTTTTTTTGAAATTTCCAGTGACATCTCTCCGACATTTGGACTTTCGGGCCTAGGTGCAGGTTGGGGGAAGCACTTGGTGGGTACCTCGGCGCAATGTGGCTTGGGGGGACCTCGCAACATCAACTCAAAAACAC